TTTGAATAGAATTTGAATTACTGAAATAAGGTCCGATTTATCCAACATGTGTTTTATGATGGTCCCTCTATTGCAACAATCATAGTCGAAATTTTATCAATTGAACGAGTCGCCAATTTGCCTTCGGCATTTCACAGAACAGCGAGCGTTTGTAAACTGACGACGCCGTTTGTAAAATGCGGAATCATACAATTTGCCTGCGACATCTACATATTGTTTTCCTGCGTACATTCTTGGAGTCGTCCCACGCGATGTCTGACGTCTCATCTTGGAATGTCAGCTGTCAGTGTCACTTAATAGCCTGTCTCTTACAAAGCGTTCCGATTTATATTTCAACAATAGTTGCCTAAATCTAGAATTGGGTTAGCTACCAAATTGCTTTCGACAGGCCGTTACCTACTCGTATTTTGTTACAAACATTCTGTATATTTAATAGCTTTAGATCCATCAAATTAGACTCTATTAAATTCGACTGTAGTTCAATCTTTGAACGTTTAAAATATATTTTATTTACAGCTTCGCTTGTTTTCGAAGAATGTTATTTACGATGCGAATATTAAACTGCTTCTTGAACATAAATACAAGTACAACAATAAGTCAAGTGAAGGTGAATAATATCTTAGTAAGCTTAAGGTTTTGTAGCTCAATTATCTCTGTAATATCATAATTCATAAAGTGATATAGAAATCAAATGCATAGTACAATGAAATCATTCATTGCTTCTTTTAATAGGTATGTCTTGTAAAAGACATAACCCTCCTTCTGGCACAGTCGGGTAAATATACGCGGTTACTGTTCTCTTCGTTCACCAGATAAATGCCTAAAGTTAAAATTAACTGGCTCATAATGAATAATCCGTAAATTAAAGAGGTCATAGAGCCGCGTTATAAATGTGTAATTAGAGACCAACACTGCGGTTATGCAATGCATATTAACCACTTTAAAGGGTCAATCGATACGTTAAACTTAGCCCCATAATCATGGCTTACAATACCTGGTATGGTAGGGGTTTTAATAATAAACACAGCTAGACCATAGCTCGGGTGTGCTTCGTTGGTTATTGTTTGCTACTTAGATAATAATTACTAGCATGGATAATAAATAGGTTTTGTTAGAAGCTAACTTAACGAAGGGTTAGTTAAAAGCAAATAAAACGAACACTAAGTCGAAATAGTGACGAATTACCATTAATATAGCGCTTCATTGAGTCAGTTTCTGAGATATGAGAGCGGCACAGAGCATACAAAGGACAATGTTCGTTCTCCATACATTGTTCGCCTAAGAACCAACAATTTTGACAAATCACTACCCGAAAGCGAAATAATACGATTCTGTGTGTAAGAACAATGATTCCTGATGGAAACTTCAATGCTTAAGTGTCCATTAAAATGAAAGGGTGCTTAATGTATTAAAAAAATTAGAAAATAATTATGATGGGTTAATGTTTTTTGGCGGTTTTTAGGCGATTTCTGACAATGACGTTTGACCGTCACAAAGGCACCCCCCTCCTGTGCCGCTCCCATACCTCAGGCACTAACACAGTTAAGCGCTAGATCTATAATACAGTTTCTGCATTATCTATCTATATAAACTAGCGGCCGCCCGCGACTTCGTACGCGTGAATCCCGTTTTTCCCGCTAATTCCCGTTCCCGTGGGAATTTCGGGAATTCCTTTCTTAGTGCATCTCTACGGTACCTAAGCTACGTCCCTTCCAAATTTCAAGTGCCTACGTTTAGCCGTTTAGGCTGTGCGTTGATCTGTCAGTCAGTCAGTCAGTTTCTCCTTTTATATATTTAGATAAAAATAAATTGATGTTCGTTAGTCTGATTAAAACTCGAGAACGGCTGGGCCGATTGAGCTGATTTTGGTTTTAAAATGTTTGTCGTAGTTCAGGATAGGTCTAAACGGTGAGCAAATACGCGCGCGATATTGTTATTCTGTGACAGACAAAATTCCACACGGATGAAGCCGCGGGCGGAAAGCTAGTAATAAATAGATAGGTACATAAATCAGCTTGACTAGCACAAAAGTAAAGCCACAAGTCAAAGCCCACAATCATAACCCTTTTTCACCGCCGATAACCAATCGGAACTAATAGTAAAACGTCCCCAAACCGCCATTTATAGCGATATTTCAATTTATCACCTATCCATCAAGCCCCCGAACCATTGTTATGGTGTAATAAAGACATAAAGGCCCCAACAAGCGTTATCTGCCGATCGACTGAGCAGCTGTATCGGGCGGTTAACTAATGCAATTAAGGGGTGGTCCGAAATTTGGGACCGATTCGAATAAATCAGATGACATCGATAAGGTTGACAAGTTTTTTGGGATATCGATGTTTTTAAATTGGCTGCGGTTGATGCGCTTTTTCGAGAACGTTTAAATCCATGTTTCATGGATTTCATTAATAAAATTTTGTGAATGGTTTAGAACTTTAGAGAGACGTAGTTTCTAGGACTGAAATACTAGCTCAAATAAAAGCTCCTTCTGGCACAGTCAGTTAATTAGGTGCTACAAGATTTAATGTGGAACCAAGAATGTGAGAGATAAATACTAAAGCCCTACTAATATTATAAATGCGAAAGTTTGTATGGATGTCTGGATGTCTTTCACGCAGAAACTGCTGAACGGATTTTGATGAGACTTTACAGTATTATTGTTTATAGCCCAGAATAATATACATATAAGCTGTAATTTATGACGATCTGTGACAAACTAAACCTCACGCGGGTGAAGCTGCGGGCAAAAGCTAGTAATTCATACATTTTACTGACATCAGATGAAAATAGAAAATACGTATCCAAAGTACAAAGCGGACTGTAATTTGTGATTTCTTTATTCACAGAGTTCTTAGAACAATGTCTCTTGTCCTTTAACAAATTTAGTGTCCACTCTTTTATAGAGCACCCCTTTACCCAAAGCGTTGTATTAAAATAGATGCTCGTCTGCCACGATATACGGCCCTGATAAATTCCCCCCATTTTTCTCCCGCTCACGAGCCGTCAGCGTATAAATGCTTCGAGTGTCTTTTTTTGTACAACCAACCGGAGGAATTACGGCATTAATCAACCGAAATGAACCTTTTAGCGAAACGTCAAAAGGTTTACAAAGATCTCCGCGGTAACGAGGCGCGTTTAAGCATTATGGAAACAAAAGAAACTTTGGCCGGGTATCCGGACATCGGTACGTGTTTTGCGTCTTCCCAGTACAGACAGATCAGCAATTGAGTCGGAATTCGAAGAAAGTTGTTCATTTGTTTATTTCGAATGTTCTTTTTGGTTCATTTCCAAGATTAATCAACCATTGATAACAAATAAAAGGAACGTTTTTTCTTAATGACTGTTATAGTAACAGTCATTAAGGGTTCATACTCAAAACAATAAGGATCTTTGTCTTAATTTGTTTCAGTGTGAAGATTTTATTTCAATAACAGAACCATATTTACAAGGCAATCAAATCTGTATAACCAGATTGCATCTAAATTGGCTTGACCGAAATAATCTTTAATAAATAATGTATCAGTATACGTGTCATTTAGGTACGTGTCAGTTAGACCACATTCCAATTATGCCTGCATTCGCCCTCCGTTGCCTACGCATAAAATTAGATTATAACCCCTTCTAAATACTCGTTACCCTTTTACAAATCGTGTTGTCTGTTCCGTGCCGTGATCGGCCTATGTTTCGATGTAGCGGTCGGCGCGCGCTTTCTCTTCTTTCTGATAAGCACACTCTTTGTCTATCCACATTAATTCCAGCCTGTGATGTAACCTCGGATTGTTAAATTGATTGTAAGCGTCTATTCACTCTTTCTGTCGGCTGTTATCAGCGATAAAGCGGCGACGATTTAAAAGAGCCGGAATCCGTTTGTCATGGACATTGCGGGAACGAAATAAATGACCAGTTAGTGATATAGCCAGCTGGGATATAAATCTTCACATTGTTATGTGCTTTCCAAAAAACACCCCTTACATTTTGTAAGATAAAGATTATCTCATTTATTTATCCACGAAAATAAAAAAGAAATAAATCTTTTATAAAGCAAGAAAAGAAACAATAGCCAACCCATAACAGCGTCTACGAGTACGTTCGATTTTTCCACAATCATATTTTGCGGGGCAGTTCGAAATTGTTCTTCGTAGGATATCCCGGAACGAAATCTAAATTTCCTTTTGGCGTTCAAAAGCGACGTTCGAATTCCCGCTCCCGGTCAGGTGTACCCGGTCCGGCACCGGTCGCCGAACCGCGCGTTCCCGGTTGATTACACCGCGTGCGAGAACCGGGGACACCTGCGCCATCTGTGCGCCGACTTTTCTACCCGCTTTGTTTTCAAATTCGGAACGTTCCGAAGTTTTATCGACGATGCGGGCAACGTTTGACTTCCTCAAATGCTTACGATCATTTTTTATCTTCCTTCTTCCTCTAATCTCAACTATTGTTCGAATACGCTCACGTAATACTTGTATAACGACGCAATCATAGCCTGACCTGAAGCTACAAAACTACGGAAAGCTAATTTAATGGCAATATTTTCTTTGGGCCTAATTTGTTCGTGTTTTTCTATCATACTTTTGGAGAAATGAGAAAGAAATCGAATTATGACGATCTATAAAAGATATTGCTTGTTTATGAAGGTCTGCGGAACGTCGGGGGAGATTTTGTTTTATTGATCCCGTAATGGTTGTAAAGGCCGTTCAATGGATATAATATCTCCTGTTATAAACGTATTAAATATAATAATAATAAATAATACTGACGTAAATGTTTTGTGCCTTTAATCTCGGTTATAAGTAGTTTATTTTAACCATACATCTTCAGATGTATTACCTACCAGACAAAAAAAAATATTTTGTTATTTATTCTGTTTAGATGTAGGTACCTACTTAAATAATGATGTGTAATTTACAAAACGAATATAAATGTTATTTCAAATATGAAATACCTAAGAATACTAGATCAATGAACCCATTTGTAAATAAAGTTTTTGTTTGTTACAGGATTTTCCCCGAAAATTACACGCCCCATCAAGCTCATGACTCCAAGAAAACAGTTATAACATCAAGTTATCTGCCTAGACTTAGGTAAGTTCTAACATTCCATCTTATTTAAAACCATTTAAATATTCAATGCTATGAGTTTGAGCTGGTTCTGCTGCAATTAAAATTGATTGCAATCTTTTTACTTGGATTGTAGGACTGTGATTAAGAGATAAGAAAGAGAAAATTCTTTTGTCATTTCTAAAAGAGCAAACGAGTACAAGGCTTTAAGTTGTAAAGGAGAGCTGTAAGTGTCTTTAAAAAAGAAAAACAAGATTAAAACCTAAAGATTCTACAACCTACAACCAAAGGGGAGAAGCATTAAAACCAAATTTCGGATTTCTTAACTCATCCGAGTAAGGCATAAAATGCCATCAAATAGCTACGAAAGGGGTAATTTGTATCTTTTTTTCAATAAAACAGCACCTGTGCACGGCCATTTGTACTGTGCGCCCTCTAAGCTGGAAGTTTTATAAATGTACCGCTATTTGTACTGAGATTGAAAAACTGTTTTGGCTGTGTGGCGACGTATTGTGCTGTGCTGAAAATATTGAGGGATGGGAAAACGCATGTAATGTTATAATGGTGTTATTGTTATTGAGTTAGGTTTTAAAATTGCATAATTTTCTTTTTACTTTTTTAATACAATCACTCTCGCACGCACACACTTGTAAATAACCAATTTCTACCAATTTATGACTTACTAGCTTTTGCCCGCGGCTTCACCCGCGTGAAATTTAGTCTGTCACAGATCGTCATAAATTATAGCCTATATTATGTTATTCTGGGTTATAAAGAATAATACTATAAAGTTTCATCAAAATCCGTTCAGTGGTTTTTGCGTGAAAGAGTAACAAACATCCATCCAGACATCAAGACATCCAAACTTTCGCATTTATAATATTAGTAGGATTATTATGCCCATTGAAAAACGTATAGCAATCATTTGAAAATATTGGTTCTTTTGTTTACAGTTTTTTTTACCTAGCCTGTGCATTGGTTTCACAAAAGTTTCTCACAAAAACTTTTTATTTGTCAATTAATTAAATTACTGAACTTTGTACTTCGTTAATCCAAACTATCTGTAACAATGAATACAGTTATTACAAATAGAAAGTATCCAGTAATTACAGAGTGCAATTAGATTTATCATAACAAAAGTCTAACAACTGCACGCTACATTAAAATTAAATTACATACAAACAATGTGATGGATTGTGCATTCATTAATGTGGAATCATGTTACATTCGGCGTAATTAAACAAGCGTTATCTAAATATGGCCCATGGGAATGGATACATTTAAATGCGATTTTCGTGTGCACTAGTTGTAAAATATTTATTTAATATAAAATATGTATAAAAGTGAAAGGTCACTGACTGATTCATTCATCACGAAATCTCAGAAACTCCTTTTAGAACGTAGGTGTTTACTAAGACGGATTTTGAAAAATTCAATTTAAGCGGTTAAAAAGAGGTCCACGCGTACGCAGTCGGGGGCGGCCGCTAGTACACGTTTCATTTTCATGTAATATTTAGTAACAATGGTAATTAATAGCCTTTATTTCTCAGACAGTTTTGTAAGGAAACGAAAGACGATATAATAATGCTTTTGAATTTGTATTTTCACAATTTCCGGCATCGCAAAAGAGGAAAATTATGTAATATTCAGTTATTGTAAACGCCAAATTGACTAAGCATCTACTTAAATATAAAGGTAAAGCTTAGTGATTTCAGACATATTTTTATTTTTGTGAACACTTAACAGTCATAAGAAAATATTAAAAAACCTTTACTAAAATTCTATTACTTGAGCAGTAGCGGGAACGTAATATTGCGTAAAGTACCTCTCTAAGATTTAATCCTATTCAACATGCCTGAGTGATCGGTCACTATTTTACAAACTTTCCTTCAAGAGATGCTCTTATTCTCTCAGCCAAGAGACGCCTATCTAAAGTACTTACTATTAAGTAGGCTCTTGAGTTGTGAGAAATAGGTCACTCTGTCCAAACATTTACATTAAGCTTCAGAGATTGATGTAGGAAGTTTTCAATGAAAGGCGAACGCTTAGCAGTGGCATGCCAGTGTCAAATAAACAAGCTATCTAGCAGCTAATAAATGGGCACATTTATTTTTGCTACAACTCAGTCATTTGTTTTTAAGAATCTAAATGTTATCTTCATTTTTAGAACGCAATTGCTTTAGTCTTTTGTTTTTTAGCGTCCAGAAAGATATTTTTTTTATTTTTGTAGACCTTAAATGCTTTAGTCATTTGTTTTTTAGAACTTAAAACTTCTTTTGCTAAAAATAATAGGTTATCCAATATTCATCGAAACAAGCTTATTCGCGGGTATTTTTACACAGCGATGACAGAACACAGAAACATAAATTAGCAGATCATTTTTCAATGACATCCTCTTCGGACAGACGTAAGTCTGTTATTAAGCGAGTTCTGTCTGTCATGAGGTTAATGAAAGATGAAAGTTATTAATAGTAATAATCCTATCTAACTTTCTGAAAATCTATGTAATACTTTAATGACCGATGATACTCATGAAAATTGATTCAAATATCATTACAAACTGTCTCGTCCCATGTGTCAAATATGACTCACAAATATTGATTTTTGTTTTACTCGATATTTCAGAGTGTGATGTAAAGGTAAAGTTTACGTCTTAAGAATTCATTTCACGGCTTAAATCTTGTTACGTTGATACATGGGACACATACCTACTAACCGACCCCTATTATTCGTAAGAAATAGGTGTAAATTATTCGAGGGTTCTGTAGTAATTCACTAGCTCTACCTTCATAATACGTCTCATTTTAAAGACATGATTGTTTACTCAAAACATCAACAACAGTAAAAAGAAATAAATTACAGAAGTAAGCATAAATTTTTAACATTTTTTATATATCCAAAATAGATAAGTAGTTAAATTTTCTAATATTCGTTTAACTCGTGTCTAGTTCTGGTAATTATTTCATTTCTAATTACAAAATATTAAATTGCATAACATTAGAAAAGAAAGGGTAAGTAACAAGGGGTAGATTTATTAATTGTAATATGAATGTGTGCGTAGTTTATTTGGGATGAACAAACATTGCTATCAAAGTTTTAATTAATTATGTTACTTTGTAAATATTTCAATGGTATGGGTTGTTAGTGATATTCTTAACAACCATTTTCGTGGTTATTTCCAAACAACTCCCTTTTCTTTTAAATAAGAAAAGGTTTTTTTAATCTAATTGCTAATGTCCTTGTTAACCGCTCGCAAGTAAGCTACATAATCCCAATATTATTTTACTGTTACACCACAAATTACTAAAACTTAGTCTTTTTTGTTTTTATTTAATTTAGTGTTTTATTTCGCCTCCTAATAGTTCTTAATCATTAAAACACTTTTGAAACGCTTTGCTCCCCATGATAAGTATTTATTTTCAATTTCTTGCTCATTAACTAACACAATATAACAAAATAACACGATACGTACAAAGAAAAACACATTTTTCTGTAATCAGAGGTTTGCTTGAGCGAATGATGTAAATACAAAAATTGCTTAATTATTTTCGAATGAAACTTTTAGGTTTCCTCTGAATTTAGAATTTAGATTCAAGGGTGTTAGTTCAATCTTTGTAGACGCCTGAATTATTGTTTTGCTCCCACTCCTAGCAAATATTTAGCTTATTACTTGAAGATAATATTGAGGAATAGAGTTGATAATTAATTAAACCTAATTGAACCGGTCAACAACAAAAAATTTTTTTTGCGCATGTATTTTATTATATTCTAAAAAGTGCGATTACAAATTGAAAATATTTGCTTTTTAAGAAGTTATAGCGATTTGAATTTTCCATTTTTATAGTAGAATTTATATAAAGATGCACGTCACATTCTCATTGGGATACATTAATAAAAGCAAATTCAGAACCATTTTTGTTGTTTTTCTTATTTCTAGGTATCAAAGCAACAAAAATAAGCTATGCATAACTCGTGCGAAAAAATACTGTAGACAGTTGTAATTACACAATATGGTTTTAGAAAATAAGTATATCCGTTTCTTTAGTAAAAATCTTTTAACCCCTAATCCACTGCGGGCATTTCGTACCCGATCGCATCGCAATCGATAACTTGGCAAAAATCCACAAATTGTAACGTAAATGTAACAAAGAAACTACACGCCTTACGTACCGCCCCATTCGAATTCACGTCAAGTCTACGTATTTGTAATTCAGCGGAGTCCCCACGCGTATTGTTTCACCTACAAATGGTTAACCCTCTAGTGCCCGGAGTTTTGCAGAGACGTTTTATCTGCACTCGGTCGATAAGACCTGTATGTTCGGTATCTGCAATTGAGGTACCTACGTTTTACTGCCATTTTAGATTATGTATGTTGAAAAGTTAGCGTATTAGGAATGAACGCATTATTTACTTTGATAGGTACCAACTATGGACCAAATCAGGTAAATAAATTGGTTACGACAAATTGTCATAAGAAATTATACAGGATGGAATTTTGTAATGCCACCTGGAGGAAAAGTACTCTTAATACTGTAGATAGAAAATTTTACTCAAAGAAGATATTCCTTTATTTTTTAAAAGAAATAGAACTGCATTCAAAGATTCCCAAAAATTGCCTGCCATACTCGGGAATCGAACCAACTAAAATCTGTTAAAAATGACACCCTGCATTTTTATTACATCGATCGTTAGGGTTAAGTATAAGGATGAAATCTCTCTAAAAAAACTTGATATTAACTAATCATATTAAAGGAAAACCATGAAATCTTAAATTATTTTATTTATTTACAAGAAATGGTAGCGAATTTTCGAAAATTTGCGGGAAATTTTTGAATGCCGTTATTTTTCTTTTCAAAAATAAAGGAATGTTTCACTTGAGTAAAATTTTCTATCTACAATATTATGAGTACTTTCCCTCCAGGTGACATTACAAAATTCCACCCTGTATAGTACAATAATTCACCTTATTACAAGTCAGGTTAGGATAAGTAATTTTGTTTTAGCGTAGGAGGCTTCTGATTGGT